ATTTCTGTTTTAATTGAGGCTGCTTTGGAGACAATTTCCCATGGGAAATTCTAGTTTGATACACGGAGCTCTGACAAGAGTCACTTAATGGGACGGCCGGCTCACCTGGTGGGGCGGTCACAGCAGTTGAGAAAACAGCTGCAGATGAACAAAAACAAGGCAGAATAAGACAACAGCCTCTGGCACACGCGCTCTGGAAGATACCGCACCAGTCAAGGCGGCTGTCCGGTCAGAGTGGCGTCCCGGCCGTCCTCCCTCGTCCTGGGCGGCAGGGCCAGGCCACATCCTCCACGGCCTCCCGCCAGCCCGCCGCCCCTTGCACCCTCTCTTTCTGTCCTGGAGGTGGAGATGATCTGTTCGGAACCCAACTCCTGGTCCAGGCTTCTCCCCTGTCTGGGGCTAGTCTAACCTGTGAATGAGGGACTTGCTTTCCCCAGTTTTTCCTCCCTGCCTGTGTGTGTGCGTGGGGGAGTGACTCAGCAGAGCTCTGCAGACTGGAACTCTCGCCAGATGGGCAACCCCAAGATCCAGACTAAGGGGGAGGCGGCGACCGCGGCCTGTGTCTCCTGCTCCCCAAGCCAGCTTGGTCACTAACAGGCCATATCTTGGTGTTGACTTTGAGATTCTGTTGCATGACACCATCAGCACTTGGAGTAGAGAACCCCACTCTCTTCTCCGCTTCTGCTTCCTCAATAAACTGCCAACTCTCTATTTGTAAAACTCTTGAACCCAAAGCCACACCTGGAGTTCCTTGATAGTTGCAACCTGCGAGTGGAGACTCACCACCTTGGGCAGCTCTGCCCTCACTGCCTGGGCACAGCTGGTTCTGGCCACCCTCTCTGAATGTTGGGGAAGGTCTGACGAGAATCAGCAAAAGCCATGACTTCATTCCCCCTTCTGGCAAAAATCACATGGTGGCTGGTCTCTAGAACCTTCTGTGGTCTTGGTGTTAGATCACCCTCGGTCCTGGAATGACTCTTTGTTTGGGTTTAGTTGGCTGAACTGGACACACTAACTGAACCGCAGCAGCTGGGCTGCCCTCAACCCATTCACCAGGTGACCCTGGGGTGGCCTGGTGGGTCAGGTCAATACCAACACATTTAAAGACTAAAGAGTCCAAAAACTCAAACAAAACGCAGCTGGTTAGTGAGTTTACTGGAAAAATCCACTAAAAAAATTATAGCAAGCCAGATGAATAGAATCTAAAACATCAGTCTTACCTGTTGAAGTGGTTACAGCAACACTCATAAATTCTGGAATAAGAGAAGTTGGTAAGCCAAAACTTACGAAATGCAGTTAGTTTTACAGTGAACTTGTTTTCTTTCCCTGACATGGAAACCAGAGGGCTCCTTCCTGTAACTAACAAGTCTTGATTCGTCTATCTGCCCTGTGGCAGGCGTTGTGTGAGACACTGGAGTAGAAAAATGAACAAAGCGAGACACAACTCCTACGCTATCAAATTATGGCTTTAATAAGTGCGATGAAGGACAGGTGTGCGATGCTATAGCACCTACGACGACAGGGGTCCCACCTGGCCAGGAGGTCCCCCTCTCTCTATCCCTCACCCCCTTGCTACCCTGTGTGCGATGGCAATGGGCAGTGGACAGTGGGTAGTGGACAGTAGTGGGCAGTGAGCATTACCGGGAGGCAACACTTGCGTCCAGGTAGAAATTGTGTCTGAATCTGAAACGCAAACAGGAAAGTTAAAAATGAACCAGAGCGCTTTGCTCACTTTCTAATTAGACACAATCTGCCTTTCCTGGCTCTCATCTACCAGGTTTTGAACTTCGAAAAGTTCAGGTGTGAGGATCAGCTCTTTCCCACCATCCTGAATAAAAGCACATACGTCATTATAAGTTAAAACCTTCCTGCCATAAAACCTGTTTCCCTGACAAAAGATGTGATCCTATTTTAGCCTGCATGACCCAGACCCACTAGGAGGCGCTGTCTGCTGTTGTGGTTGGGACTCAGCCCTGCCACCAGGTCTTTTTGCCTCCTAAGGCGATGTTCAGAAAGTCTGGTGACATTTAAGGCTTTCTAGACCCTTCTGTGGCTGTCAGATTGTTAGCATTTCCTGTATTGCCAGTGAACTTCCTCTAGAGGTCTGCCCACCCCCTGACTGCACCCCCTCCCAGATCGTCATCTCTGATAACACAGTCAGCAGGAGGCAGACTGCCCTGTGTGCTAGAATGTAAGAACGGCCGTGTCTGTGGGACACACGCGTGCGTACTCAAGCCTTCGAGCTGGGAGGTTGGGACCTCACCCCGCCTCGTTCTGGGCTCTCGGCTATCTTCCACGGGAAAAAATCAGTCAAGTAACCCCTGGACAAACAACACAATTGTACTATCCAGGTAGGATTTCACACAGCAATCTATCTCCCTTAGATAGGAAATAAGAACAAATCAGCAGAAAAATTATTACCAGTTGTAAGGACTGAATCTGTGGCCGAAATTGAGGTAGGAGCTGTTAAGACAAATTAAAGAGAATCATAGTTAGAGACCATCCTTGTCCATCAAGTTCATTGACAAAGAATTTTTTTTTTTTTTACAGTTTATGTCCTGGCTGTGTTCATACTTAATTATGCTGTGTTTCTACTGGTTTTTCCTAGTCTGTTTCATTAAACTAGGGGAAATAAATAATAGGGAGGTGGTACCTGGGTCTCAGACCCAGCTGGTTCTAGCTGTTGCTCTTTGTGTTACGGGGGCCATGACTTTGAACAAGTCCCTTGACAGCTCTGAGCCACAAGAGCTGCATTGCAAAGTCTAGTCCGTTATCTCTTCACCTTGGTGGAAATGCAGACTCTCAGGACCCACTGGAGACCCACTAAATCAGAATCTGCATTTTAACAGATCTCCAGGTGACTTACCTGCACATTAAAGTTTGAGAAGCACCATGGAGCCCAGCGGAGGCCCAGACATAACTGGCACTGGCCAGAAGGAAACGAGGAAGCCTCTGCCCTGGAAAGGGGCCTGCCTTGCCCCACCCCAGCTAACGGGTGGGGTGAATCAGCCTACTGAGATTCACGTGAATAGTTACATCCTCCGTTTGCCCATCAAAGCCTGAAATCTTGACTTTTACGTCAAATCTCTCGTTTTTAAAAAGTAGCATTAAAAAAATAAAATATCACGGGGCTGGAAAAGATCATGCTTAGTGAAATAAGCCAGAAAGAAAAGGAAAAATGCCAGATGGTTTCACTCATAGCAGCAGTATAAAGGACCAGGGAAGAAGGGAAATGCACTGGACTATTATGATGGCACACGGGTGACTTGGTGATGGGAAACCCACGGGGATTGCAACTGAGATGGAAAAAGGCACAAAATGATGTAAAAAAAAAAAAAAACCTATTATATTATTAAAAATAAAATAAATGATCACAAGTACAGAACTCTGTTAGCGGAATCAAAACCCATCTGTGGGTCAGCCCAGCCCGCAAGGGGCCCACTGGACACTTCTGGTCTGGACTAGCTCTCAGATCCCTTCCAACTCCTGGGAAAGTGCTTCTCTGCGGCGGCGCCGGCCCCCAGGCCAGGCGGCTGGTTCTCACAGATGCGGCCGCACAGAGGGACATCTGCTTCACTGTCTGACCTGTCTTAGAGGCCATTTTCTGCCCAGCCTGGCAAAGGGGTCTGAGGTTGTGGACATCTGAACTGTACCACGTTTGTAGCTGCTTACAGTCAGAGACTCTTGAGTTGACTTGAGACCGTATTTCTCCAACTTACTCGGCCATAACGTGACCTCGCCATCCTGAGGATGACCCCAAAAGTGGCCCAAGAGGGCAGTTCACAGAGGACACGCGGGTCGCTAGCATTATAGGGCTGGAGGCAGGACAGGTGCCTCTGGAGGGTGACCATCAGGTGGCCATCGCCAGCGCCGGCACATGTGTGCTCAGTCCCCGGATGAACTCTGGCCTCTGTGCAGACGGGGACACCCAGGCTCCACGAGGGGAGCAGACCTGCCCGCTGCCGCCCAGCTGGCCAATGCTGGAGGTGGGACGTAACCCCACGACCTCCAATGCCAAAGCCTGTGGGCCCACTCGAAAGCTTCCAGAAATCTGAGAAGCCCTGGGTGACGTTCAAGGTTCAAAAGGTCCTTCACCGAAGAACCCCCCGAGACGTTCATGCTGGCACAGTGTGAGTCCTCAAGACAGGGAGGTGCGGTTTCTTGGCTTGTTCAGCCTCGGAGCCTGTAGAAACGGGCCCATCCTGGACTGTGCCCTGCTAACTACGGGCACGCGGCTCTGAAAATGCAGGTCGGGGGGGTATTTTCCCTGAGACGCCTGAGACTTTAATAGTCCTGTGACTGCTAAAAAAAACGAACTCCTTGGCCCGGCTCGAGGCACTGACTTGATCTCAAAGAGCTCCGGTGGCACTCGGGAGGTGAGTGGAACCGAGAACTGACTCAGTGGGTGTGTGAATACCTCCTACTCGCTTAGCGCGACACTGCTACTAGTTTCAGCCAGGTAGAAATTCCCATGCCGACCACATACAAGACAATCTAGACGTGCATGATTTCTAGAAAGCAAGTAGGAAAATGGAATTACCGGGTGAAGTCATTTCTGCAGCTGACGCTGTAAGAGGAAAACAAAAATGAAAGCGAACTAAGACCAAGTCCAGACAGAAGCCCACCCCCAGCAGGGAATTCGGCGACTATTTTAATTAAAATATTTAAAATATTTATATCCCAACGACCCTAGGATGTAGGTATCAAATGACTTCCAATTTGCGAAATGAAAAATCAGACCATGTTCTTGGGTGAAACTGAACTGACGGAGCTGGGGCTGCACGGCGGGAGGAAGGGGGTTCACCGCCCTGGTGGTCAGGACTGCACCCCCTGATGGACCAGGAGGCCCCGGTCACGCTGAAAGATCTCCGGAGCGGCGAGGTGCCAGAAGCACCCCAACTCCAGCGCTGGGTTTCTGTGGCTGATCCCCCCTTTCCCAGACAAACTGGCGGCGAGCGGCACCGGGCGAGCAGGTGCGGGTGACCCAGCGAGACGCCCACCTGCGCAGATGACCCTGGCGTCCTCGTGGTGGCCGCTGTTGTGGACGGACAGGCCGAGGTGCCGGCGCTGGCCCAGGGTGGCCTCGTTGCCCTGGCACCGCACGTCGTCCAGAAGGATGCTGCCCACTCCCGCCCCAAAGTGGCCGTGCCCCAGGGCGCCGACGCCCTGACCGCAGCCCAGCTGCCCGCACACCACCCGGGCGCGCCCAGGCCCCACAGGTCGCCGCACACGGGGCCCCAGGCGCCCTGGTGCTGCAGCTCCACGCGGCCCTCGCAGCGGCTCCTCCCGGCCACCAGCCTGACGACGGGCAGATCTGGGGAGAGGCCGGCAGTGGCCGGAAGCCCGGCCGTCTGGCGGGGGACGGCAGGGGCTCTTCCCTGGTTCTTCCTCTCTCAGCCCCGACAAGCCAGTCCCCGGGAACTCTTGCTTCCTCCTCCAGCCCCTGCTGCTCGTCCAGGCAGTGACCGGCGTCCCCAGGCTACTCTGATTCCAAACACACACCAGCTCTGGCTTGGAGTACGGCATTTACCCGGACGGGCCTCAGTAGCTGTCTTGCAGCTGAGCCTTCACACTGCCCTAAGCAACCACAGACTCAACGTCGCGTGATTTCCTTGGGGCTAACCTTGGCCGCTGTCTGGCCTAGACGCCAAGTCTAAGACCACCGAGAGAGCCAGCCAGACGGGCAGCAGCCCCTCGCTCCTCGCCCAGCCCAGCCCTGGTCTTCTCAGTCCCAGGGACGCCTGCATCTGGAGGGGCAGGGCTGGCCGCCCCTCAGGGCGCCCACCACAAAGATTCAGTAACCAGGATGCCAAAAAGAAACCACGAGAGGATTACCGACTGCAGGCGCTGTCTCTGCCGGGTCTGGGGCCTCGTCGGCTGCTGAAAGAGAGATCGTGGCGTTAGTGCGGGTGCACTGCGTGAGCTCACGAAGCACCCAAGAGGTGGGATGGCCCGGACACACACTCCGTGCCGCGTGGGGTGAGAGCGCCTGGCACTGTCGCGGGGGAGGCCGGGCCCCAGCAGGTGGAGCCTCAGGATCGCCCGCCTGGCCGGGCGACACCCTGACTTACGCGCACGAGCTGACGCTTCTAGGTTCATCTTCCCGGGAGGAGCGCCCGCCCGGAAGAAGCCTTAGCACACCGTGGCTGGTGTGAAGCCCCAAACACTCATTTGAGATGAAAAGAAACCCTGCCAAATGACGCAGGGGCCAGAGAGACCCTCACCCCGATTCGTGTTCACCCCCTCTTGGACCCTCGCTCTCCGAGGAGCCCCTGGGCAGTGGCTGGGGCTGCAGGTGCCTGTCCCGTGTTCCTCGTCAGCAACAAAAGGTGCTGACGAGGGGTTTGAGGTGTTGATTCGGTTTTTCCGGATGGTCGTGTGAAATTGCCCTCCTGGCGAGAGAGCCAGGCACTCACGGGCCAGGGAGCCCACCCGGAGCTGTCACCGAGATTCATCTTCTTGTGAAATGTGTGGCACTGAGACTCGTAGGAAAATCACCCCGGGAGAGAGAAACCACCCGGGCCGGGGCCGCCCCCGGCTCTGTTTCGTCAGAGGTTCTCTTCTCTGCTGAGCCTGGAGCAGCCAGGGTATGGGGAACAGTGGGCCCAATGTCCTGGGCTGTGGGACCGCGAGGGGCACCGGGGCAAGGGGCTTCCCAGGCTGCCCATGGAAAAGTTCCAGACAAACCAGGACGAGCCAGTCACTGCTCTGCACCCCCGGCTCCCCGCTGACCCACCGGGCAGATGGGCCTCTGCCGCCCGGGAGGGGCCGGGCTGGGAGAGGGCCGCATGGGCGCAGA